ATTTGATACGACGAACTTTGACCCTTTGACCTAGACCTTGGAGAACACATGTGTACATCTGAATCTTTTTTTATGTTTCGTTTCTATGGCAACTGTGAGCGACTCATTACAATTATTTTGAAAGTAGAAATCACTTTGACACATTGCAAGGAATAAACATTGAAAGTTTCAAAACGATTGCCTGAGTAGTTATTGAGAAAATCGAAATTAAAGAATTTTAACTTTCACCTGGTTTCCATGGCAATAATCGATTATTTGAAAATTTTAAATGCGAAGCGCACAACTACAGATACTAATCATTAAAATAAGAAAAATTTCATGACGAACGTTTAAGGGACCAGAGAGAACACTCTCGGACAAAATTTGTCGCTTTTTACAGGTTTCCATGGCAACGGTAGACATATTGGAACTGAACGACCTCACTGCACAACTACAACCAGTGATCGTCCTTTGAGGAAAGTTTCAGGAAGATTGTCCCAGCCATCTCCGAGAAACAGCCTGGATAAAAAAAACATGCGTACAATATCAATATGTCGTCCCCGACTTCGTTCGGGGCGACATAATAATAATAACTAGATGCGTTCTTGTTGCTAGAGCAACAAGTGGTCTTCCGACCGACTTTTCGTTAGAGTTCTATGCTGCATCATCCCATGAAATAGATTTCAGAATGTATTTTTTTGTTTACGTTTATTCACAGCAGTCTCTACACATACATCATGATAATTACAGGTATTCCTCAAAATATCTCAAAAAATAGCTTTCAAAAATCCGCAAAATATTCCATGCGTGTTATAAACATGATAAAAGAGATAAAAGTCATTTGCAACTCAATAAAGACATAAACAAAGAAAAAAAATTTCAACGCCCACAGCGGGATTCGAGCCCGCGACAGTGGGACAAAGTTTGGTTCGGTCATATCTTTTCAATATATGCACGCATCAAGATTCTGAACACATATTTAGAATTCTCATAAGACACTCTATCAACCCTGTAAATCCGAAAGAAAAATATTGAAAAACAAAAAAGTTGAGAAATGGGACTTTTTGAATTCACTTCCGTTTGCGACCGGAAGTGCCGACGACGAAAAATAAAGGCCGTTCCCCATAATGGAGTTCAATGTTCTATCACCTCAGTGAGTTTCACTTTCATATCTTTAGCCGTTCTCGAGAAAACTGCTGGACAAAATGCCTTTTAAAAAATACAAAAATCCCCAAAAATCGCGAACGAAAGTAAATTTTGAAAAATTGAAAAACACGTCTGGAGATATTCTCATGATGCATCATCCCTGTAAAAATCTTCTTAATCCGTCCACGCACAGCTGAGATAACGCCCTAACTATGAAAAAAGAAAAATAATAATAATAATAATAACTAGAAACGATCTCGTTGCTAGCAACGAGAGGTCTTCCGTCCGATTCAAGAAAAAAACCTAAAATCTAGCTAAAAAGTGATAAAAAAATTGGTCACAAAAAGGATTTAACCCATGTCGCCAGCGTGAAAATTCAACGCGCTTTTTTCCTCTTTATTCCAAACGCGCTTAAATTACGCTGTTGAGTCCACAGCTCTAAATGTACTTGTATATACTTCTTCAACAATACACCTGTCTAAGAACTACGAATCATTTTCGATTAGCCCCCCCTCTTTCAATTTGCTTCCGACGCCCATGTGCAGGCCATTCACAATTTCCCACATAGCGTAACGAGTAAGTCGTGGCGCTTTTCTTCTTTCGCTATTGGGAGTTCTGCTCTAAATGTACTTGTTTATACTTTTGCAACAGTTCACCTGTCTAAAAATTATAGAAGGCACCAAACACCACGACTAAATCTTCGCGCCTTTTCTTTGGACTGATCTATTATATAGGTGTGAAGTGACTATAATTTTAAACTTTTTTTATTTCTCGTTTATCCCCAAAGTGAACTTTGCCGATTAGTTACACTTTCACAGAAAGGTTGAAATGGTTCGCCGAAAAACATGATTCACCCTACTTCAATGTATCAGGTACCATTTATGTTCAATAACTTGAGTCAGATTATTGAGAAAAGAATGTTAATATAAACTCCATTAGACGATCTTATTTAAAAAGGGTTTTCTTATTTCTGTCTTTTGTATTAGTTTAATATGACACAAGTGTGCATGGGCAACACAGTTGTTACGTTTCTTGAAAAACTAATAAATTTTGAATACTACTCTAAATATATTTGTGTATACAGTACACCTGCAACACCTGTCTAAGAATCATAAAAGGCGGGCTACTATTCATAATCTCGCGCCAAACACCACGAGTAAATATTCGTGCCTTTCCTTTGGACTGATCTATCAAATAGGTGTGATAGCTTCAATGAAATTAAATATTAAATAAAACAACTTCTTATCGCCTTTATTTTATTTCGACATTAAGAAAGTATATTTAACACATTGTACACACGTATCTAGCCCATTTACACTAAAGCTGTGAAACGGAAATTAAGTTTTAAGATTGACACTGAATTGCAGCGTACTTCTACGTGAAAGTCCAAGTAGTTTTTGTACATTTCATGTATCCTTATGTCAGAATGATTTGATCAAACGCTCAGCTGCCTCCATAAACCCCTACTCGCGAAATGGCGGAGTTGACAGAGACAGCCGCCATCTTGGTCCCGCTTCAGATTTTCAAATATTAATATCTACAGTTCTGATTAACCAATATTCAAACAACTAATACAGTAAGCATCAATCAAAGGGTCTCTATTATCATTCCAAAAATCAATAAAAAATATTAAAAAACAAAAAAGTTAGAAAATACGATTTTCTTAATTCGCTTGTCGTAACGACCGGAAGTATTGACGACGAACGAAAGGTCGCGTCCTGGAAGGGGAATATCATGATATATAATCCCTGAAAGTTTCACATTGATATCTTTTACCGTTCTTGAGATGAATCGCGGACAAAATGTCATTTTAAAATCAGGAAATGTCCCGTAACTTGGCACCAAAAGGGAATTTCCAAAAAATCGCTCAGATAGATCAAGTTAATGTTACGACACATCTTTTCTGAAAATTTCATTTAATTCTATCCAGTAGTCTTCGAGAAATCGCGTGCACAAAATTAGAAAGTCAAAAAAATAATAATAATAATAAGAAACAATAGAATAACTATAAGGTCTTCCGTGAAGACGGAAGACCTTAATAAAAAACATACGAATAACAATAAGGTCTTCCGAAGGAAGTCGGAAGACCTTAATAATAAGAAACAGAGTAAAAACAATATGTTCCCCAACTTCGTTTGGGGAACATAATAAGACTATAATATACTCGTATACTTTTAACATACTACTAATACTTGAAATGATAGCAATGCACACATTACTCAATCACGTAATTTACAGCAAAGTTAAGAACTAAGGTCCTTGGCCATTTCAGGAAACTGTATAAGATAAAACATTTAAATTAATGAAACAAACTTACCTCAGAAGATATGTAAAGTCTGGTCAAATACTTTGTAGAATACTACTGTGTTACTAATACTCGAGCAAGTGAAGAACGTCTGCTCTACCCAATTGCTACACCCAAACTGACCACTTAACAGCACGGGATTTAAAACCCGCCAAGTAAATTCTACTGAGCAGATAAAATAATATGGAACACCGTTATGGCATTTAAATAAGTTATATACATATCGAAACAAGTTTACGTTAAAAAAATATGGAATAATGTTTGGACGTTAATTGTGACATATATTATCTGTACCTGCGACAATGTAGCAACAATTTCACAAAATCTTCGTCATTGTGCAAAAAATATTTTTTAATACGCGAGACTGCAGGCAAAATAAAATGTTTTTACATACAACTTCTTAAATGACAAAAGACGAAATTTTTATTCATTGTCAAAAAAATAGTGCACTTAACGCGAAATTCTTATCAAATGGATCTGCTTGTTCACAGATCGCTCTCCCCAGAAGCCATGACAGTTCTCGCATGATGCACTGAGACTTGCGCTTGAATTTAAAATTATTTATAGTAATGTAAATGCCGGGGCTCCATAATAATTTTGCTGTATGATATCACTCAACTTCGATAAATAAATCTATTCCATGTGATATTTTTTCGTAAACAGCTACATGTATATCTATTGCTAAAAAGGTAATTCCTATACTTTACCCTACTTATAAATATTTATGTGGAGTTTATACAAGGAAAAAAATTTCAAGAACTATTTAATGACAAATGTTGAAGACCCAATACTCAAGATATTAATTTCCCGTTTTCTTGGTGCATTGGATAATTTTCACCTGATGTTTTGATTTTTTACTCTGTTATCTCGAGAGCTTGATTTGACTATTCTTAAGGAAATATTTTTCAAAAGGGAAATCCTGCTAATCGATAATATTTAATTTTAACTCAAGATTTGAAAAAAAAAAAGAAAACATATTCGATTATTTTGTTTCTGAAGCATACAAAATTATACTTTAAGTTCAACTTTAAATTGTTATGAATTTAGCTACATTGGTTGGTACATCTTTGATGATGATGATATATATTAATAATTGCACGTATGAAACGATTGAATGTTTTTGTATTTGATGCAGTTTGACAGTTTGTGGAGAGGGCTTATATAGGTTATGCCCAATCCGTTTATGTATTATTACATAATAAAATATGTTCAAATCAAAAGCAGTATGACAATGTTTAACATAATTCTACACAGCACATTTTGTCTCTTTAAGTTAAACGAAGGAATACCACTACACCAAATGCATGAACTGATTAACTTTATTATCTATGCACAGTGATACACAAAATTTCGAGTCATGTACATACCTTACAAGCAAGTTCAAATACGGAATTAAATCGTAGAATTTTATGCCGGAAGTATAAATATCCAACAAAGAAACAAGATGGCAAAGATCATCGTTGTTTTAGTGCTTGTGATGCTGGTGTTTCCAAAGTTTCTCATCAGTAAGTAGGAACCAGATCTTTAAAGTTTGTCACAAAGTTGTTTTTTTCTGTTACCTTGGCATTTGTTTTATTTGTCCTTGTTTAAGATTTTCACATTTGCGCATAGAAATTTGTCTCGTCGACAACGTTAATTTTTACTTCACAGGATGCCAGAATACCGTTACTTCTGAAATTGGATCCAGTACCTGCATTTCATTTTCGAAGCCTTCCATGAGCTACGAAGAAAGAGTAATAATGAAAGAAGAATCACTGCTCTGCTTGAGATCAAGTAATAATCAGAATATATTAAAAGATGACAAAGGATGGAATAGAACCTTTTCTTGCCACGAGAGCAGTGTAAAAATATCCATTTGTTTTACAAACACCCAGACATCTGATGCCGGTGTATTTTATCTAAGAAATGAAAACAGGAGTGTTACTTTGGAAAATATTACTCTTATTGTTGAATGTAAGTACACACACACACACACACACACACTCTCTCTCTCTTTCTCACTCTCTCATAGTACATCCATTGCAAAGGATAAGGGTCAGTAAACAGTGATGCTAAAATTTACGAAAAAAGGAAGCAGCAAAGAAGCTGATTAATTTAAAATAAAACTTTCCTCGTATTAATATCTTTACTTATAAATTAATAATTTTAACAAAAAAAAAAGTTACTTCATTTTCGGTTAACTGCCTCGAAATAGCAAAAACGATAGTGTGGTGGTGGTTCGGTTTGCGGTTACAGTTATAGACATTTTCAAATGAAACTGACAACAATCAAGCGTTAATAATTTCTTAAAACATTGTTAAAGAATTATTCATTCAAATCTTTATTTAAGTGAAATAAAAGTCATAATTTGTGGCTACTGATTAAAAAAAAATGAGCAAAACCTTTCCGTTTATGTCTGATCTCACTCTTGATTGAAAGTTCCAGAACGTCAGATGGCTGTCATGTTGTAAATTTTGAATTTACCGGGTGGCAGTAAATACAAAATTTACAACATGACATGTTGTAAATTTTGTATTTACTGCCTCCCGGTAAATTCAAAATTTACAACATGACATGGCATTGAACCCGATTTTAAAAAGAAAATCGAACTGTGGGCATAAAGTTAATGGTAAAGCAATTTATAAGTCAGAAAGTACATGTAAGTTGTGCTAATAAAGAAGATGGGCGTATTTGGTGTGTGATCTGCAGGGATCATTGGTACGAACCATTTATAGTTTAAGGAGGCTGGGGAGGGGGGGGGGGTCAACAAATTAACCACCAGATTTAACTTATTTTTCTATGGTATGGTATAAGGTATCTTAAGCTGTCAACTATCATTTGACAAAGAAAAATTTCATACATTTTAGTTTTAAGATTAGAACATATTTGTATATTTTTATATGGAGCTCTTCTTCTAAAAGAGGTCAAAATAGTCTGAAAATGGCCACAACCCCCAGCCCCTTTAAATGTCCATGATTTAGTTGGCGGACCATGATAGCTGGTCAGATTTTACAAGCACAGCCATAGGATTTTTTCTTTCATTTAGTCTGAAATACCTTGTACATTGAAACATTTATGCCGTTTTTCTTAGGAAATACATGAACAAAGTTATGCTTAACAAAAAAAAGTAATTAATATACAAGTAACAGCTTTTTAAAAAGCTTGCCTGACTAAATCAGTCAATATCTGCATGAGGAGTGATAAACCTTTTGAGCAATACTTTTGTTTTTTAGAAACTTGCGTAAAAGAAATCTTGATTTTATTTAAGTGTTAGAAGAATTATTTCTACACTGCATATACTAAAGAGTTGACCATTTAATCTGTGGGGGTTTTCTTCAAGTGAAGTGATCTGCCCTTGGATTTAATTGATTTCGAGCTACTTATATTGTAACACCTATTATAAAATCTGTCACCAAATCATGCATTGTCAACATTCTAAAGGATGGATATAATTAAATACACATTTTGTTGGAGTGTATTTTCTCCACTGAAGTATACAGAAGTTATGTGTGTTCATTTTTTTTCTTAAAAGGGGGGAGGGTACAGGCGCGGATCCAGGAATTGGAGTTAGAGGGGGCGCCAAAATTAGGCAAGGGGTCTGGGGGCCGCTTTGAGGCCCCCAGTGGGTCCAGGGCAAAGCCCTGGTGGGGGCCTAGGGTGCGAAGCCCCCGGAAGTTCCTGGATTCTAGAGAATTTGTATAGGGTAAAAATGAGGTCTACCAATTAGACATATTTACATTTTCTAGACGAAACTGTGATTTACTCTAACTTTGACAATTTTAGGGGCGCGCGCGCCGGGTGCGCCCCCCTTAAATCCGCCACTGGGATAGTCCCACTATCATATATTGAGAATGAAATAAGTAAATTCACTACCTAGACCTGTGTGGAAATAAAAAGATTTTGCACTTGTTTCTTATTTATTGTGTGCATCAGAACAGAGACATATAATTGTTCACGCATATGGAGACCATGACTTTGTTGAAATGCGTTGTTTATTATTATTTGACTAGTCCATTTATGGAATAAACCAACCGAGGGATCGGGAAACGAAATCTAAAAATCATTTCTTTTATAGTGTTGCGTGTCCGTATACTGATATATTATACGATGTGCTATTTAAAAGAATGAGATAAAACATTCATCTGTAGACAGGATTTCTGAAACATTAGAAGGAGGTTAAAAGGATAAACTCTAATTCCATGGAAGTTAAAACACCCATTCATACAATAGAACAATCCAAGGAAAAGGCGCGAAGAAAGCAGTGACATTTGGCGCGAACAGAGCGATTCACCCCTTTAGTAGAATATAAATGGACTGATCCAGTAGTATAGAAATGCAGAAAAAAGGATACACGGACATGTTGAAACATTGAATCACATAGAATAATCGTTCCATGCAAAAAGATTAAATTTAGTAAACACTACAGTATATTCTATCAGTAATATCATTCTTTTTTCTGAAACTGTTTCTTTTAAAATGCAGGTAAAGAATTCCAATGTAAATCAGCTTGCACAAAATCTAGCTCTCTAGGTATGATCTATTAGTTTCGGATTAAGCAAATATCAATCCTTGTACAGCCTGACGCCGTGACGTCAGGCAATTAAGGTAAAAGGCATATGATAAGTGTACATGCACATAAACGTTAAGTCGAACAGAATATTAGAATTGGCTTCGCTCTCGGTGCAACTGAACCAAAATGTATCTAATTCAACATTTTAATAAATCAGTACATAAAATGAAACCGACAAAAGAAATGAATGTTTGCATTAAAAAATATAACGCTCCGTGCGAGGCTCGAACTAAAGACTTTTCATTTCTAGTGCACTGATCAGGTAATCCATATAACTGAGCCATCACCGCTAAAGAAGCACCATATTTACAGAATTGAATTTTTTGGGGAAAAGTTCATTTTTTATGGTCTCTGGGTCTTGTCTCCATTTTCTACAAATGTATGTTCGTTTCTTTGAAGTAAAATGCACACAAATAAGGTTTCAAAATCATGGAGAGAAGACCCATAGATTAAAAAAAATTAGAAAAACGTGTTTAAAAATGTACCATTTTGTACTAAATGTCTGATCTAGCCAAGTTCGAAGTTATTTTTAAGCAAATCAAAACTCACTATCGGGAAATTATTTTCCTTTCCCACTTCGAAGGGACCTGATAAATAAAAAAAAATGTTAAAATTTCATGTGACATATCGATAAAAATTTTTACTTTCCAAGTACACCCAGATTTCTGTCGAATGCCAATCAAAAGCGCCCTCGTTCTTTTACAAAGAAAATGTGCATATTTACCATATCTAACGTCCTAATATGTACCAATATTTTTAGTTTGAGGGAAAAAATTGGAACTTGATTATTCCAACGAGTTGAAATAGTGCTCTTTATATATTCATATACATGATTGTATTGGCAATTTTTTAAACCCTTCGTGAACAACGAAAATTTAAGAAGTTCAACTACAGCAAAGTCAAAAATATAAATCTTCTATGCGTAAAAAGAAACTTCATATATTTAAACTTAACAAAAAGCCTATTATAATATCAAATTGAATGTTAATTTTAGATCCCCCAAATGTGTCCGCAATGGATGAACAGAAGGTAATTGAGGGTGACTATTTTTCTGTCTCGTGTAACTACACCGAGGGAAATCCGCCATCTACATCAGTGTATTGGACCAAGGACGATCCATACTTCAGGCAATATCAACAAAATCTCACTATTACAAATGTTACAAGAAGAGATTCGGGGACATATGTGTGTTTTGCAGAGAACACTTATAGTAGCGGAAGGAGAGGAACCTCCAATAATACAATGGAGCTAGATGTGCAGTGTATGTTAAACAATAGGTTTCAATACAGGATTTTTTTGCGGGGGGGGGGGGGGTACAGTTTAGGACAATGCACAAATGTGTGATGTTTGATAAATACAATTTAATGTATCTCCATATATATCATCTATTTAATCGACTAAATCGTTCATGAAAGTTTTCAAAGTTTCATTAAAGTATTCCGTTTGTTTTAATATAGGTATATATTATTTTGATTTTTTCTCGAAAAAAAATGAACGACTACAATGGCATGTAAGGTTTTGCACAATTCTCTCGTCCGACTCTCTCATATATGGCATTTCTTGTTCTCAAATTTCTAAGTAAAGGTAGACCAAGGTAAATTAATATTCGATGGAATAAAATTATAAAACCAGAAAAAAATGTATTTTTACAGACCCTCCCAGAATATCTCTACCTTCTACTTTAAAACCAGTGGAGGGGGGATACCTTACTGTTGTTTGTAACGTCACTGAAGGGAATCCCAGACCAGTCACAAAGATATCCTGGTACAAATCAGGTCACGGATTCTTCAAAAATGGGAAAATATTGAGCTTTCCAAACATAACGAGATCACATTCTGGAACATACACATGCACTGCTGAAAACACTTATTTCAGTGGAGCAAGAGGGAGTGATAAACAGTCCATCACGATTGATGTAGAATGTAAGTTCTATTTTATTATTTATTTAAAAAATTATCTGAATTGTATTAACTTTTGGGGGTTTTTCAAAATATTTTACAGATCCTCCAAGAGTTTCACTATTTTCTACTAAGTATCCCGTGGAATATAGCAGCCTTTATGTTACCTGTTCGGCAACTAATGGAAACCCATCGACCACACTCTTTTACTGGAAAAAATCGGGGGACAGTGATTTTCAGCAGAATGATACTAACTTACGTCTGTATAGTATAAACAGGAATCAGTCTGGAACTTATATATGTACTGCAGAGAATACTTACTCGTCTGGATCAAAAGGCAGCGACTCTCAGCAACTTGTGGTGGATGTTCAGTGTGAGTAATGATGTTTTTATAAAAAAACTGACACCTGTCATCTTGATATACTGCGCCAGTCTTTTATTGTCAAGAATTTTTTTTTTACCTCACCTGAGCTGAAAGCTCAAGTGAGCTTTTCTGATCACCCATTGTCCGTGGTCCGTCCATTCGTCTGTAAACTTTTCACATTTTCAACTTCTTCTCATGAAACACTGGGCCAAACTTGGTACAAAACATCCTCGGGTGATGAGAATTTTAAATTGTTTAAATAAAGGGTAAAGTCCCCTTACAAGAGGAGATAAGCAAGAAAAGAAAAAAATAGGGTGGGGTCATTAAAAAATCTTCTCAAGAACCACTGGACCAGAAAAACTGAAAATTATGTGGAAGAATCCTGGGAAAGTGTAGAAATGTAAATTGTTAAAATCATAACACCCGGGGGGTAGTGCGGGGCCACAATAGGGAATCCAAGTTTTACATTGAAATTTATAGGAAAAGTCTTTAAATGTCATTTCCAGAAACAATGGACCAGAAAAAGTTAAAAGTTATTTGGAAGCATCCTGGGTTAGTGTAGAATCTAAATTGTTAAAACCATGGCCCCGGGGGCAGGGCGCAATAGGGAATCCAAGTTTTACATTGAAATATGTAGGAAAAATCTTTAAAGGCAGAGATTTTAAGCACCGCCTTGGCGCCTTCAAAAATACCTGGTCTGGGTAGCCCTGTCAATCAAGTGTACGAGGGTCCATCATTGGATGCTGGAACTTGATTGACATTTACTTACTGGTCCCTGTGAATACCCGGTTCACCTTGTTTGGGACTCGTGGGGACCTTCAAATTAACTCATGATCCTTTTATGTTTACCGAACATATGGTATAGAGAAACTGTATTACTATGAAAAATTTTATCTTGATAATACGTGTATAAGAATTATAAAATAAAGTAGTATAAAATATACCTTTAGTATTTGAAAGGATTATAATAAATAAATATAATATGTATTTTTTTAAATTCACCTTTGGTACATAAAACTTCTGATATTAATTTTAGATGGGATCCTGGGGATGAATGAATTAAGACTAATTTGGATGTTACAGAAGTAGTTTTTTTTAATTAAAACACAAACACTAACATTTAAAACGATCTTTGTTTTTGAATTTATGGTATGATATCATAATAATTTCTTTTATGGGAAGGGGTGTTTTCAAACAGTAAAAAATAAATAAATATATAATTGATAAACCTTTTTATTACTAATTTTAAAATTGTCGCAAATCCCCAACACAGGTAAAGTTTGGCATCTGGGTATTTCACTGTGTATTAAATCACTTCCTGTGTATAAGGATTAGGAGACAGATGGCCACAGGTAGACTGCTAGCCCCCCAGGCATTCACACCTGTACAAAATAAGCCCCTCCCTCACCTGGAATTTACCACCCGGTAAAACATCTCTGCCTTTAAAATCTTTTTCTCAAGAACCATGGGGCCAGAAAAGCTGAAACTTTTGTGGAAGCATCCTTGGGTATTATAGATTGTTAATAATTAAAATCATGAGCTGGAGTGGGGGTGGGGGTTTAGGGCGGGGCCATAATTGGTATTACAAGGGGGAAATCTGGCAAAGAAAGGCATCCCAAAGTTACTCAGGTTAGCCCATGGGCCTCTTGTTTAGTTCCCATTTCTAATGCATATAAAAATCAGAATTTTTGCGGGTTTTCTTTCTTTCAAAGTGGTATCTTCTGAAATAAAACTGATCAAAGTTATTGATTCAATCATTTTATTGCTTGAGGAACTAAAAGCCATTCGATTTTATTCGATTACACGTCATTTAGATCCTCCTTTGGTATCCGATATCTCTGACATAAGACGAGTGGAACATGACGAAGTCAGAGTGCAGTGCAACGTCACCAAAGGAAATCCGTCCTCAACAAATATCTTCTGGACCAAATCAGGAAGTTCCAGCGTCCAACAGTCCGGTTCTACACTTGTGTTGAATAGCATTAGGAGAAGTCAAAAAGGAAGCTATTACTGTGTCGCAGAAAATTTGTATGATATTGGAGGAAATGGCAGAGGAGAAAAATCATTCTTTGTGGATGTTTTGTGTACGTCTAATTTATTTATCCTTCTTAACCTTGAATGTCACTCTTTTCATAAGAAAATTTCATTCGATTGCCGAAATTACCTTGCTATTTGATTTTTTCAGGTGTAAAAAAAAGTATGAAGCAAAAAATGAAATAAACTTACGAAAAAGCAATGCATTTATTAGGTCACCTGAGTAAACTCAGGTGACCTATTGCTATCTGTTTTCGTCCGTCGTCGTGCGTCGTGCGTTAACATTTGAAAATTTTCAGCTTCTTCTCTGCAACCACTCAACCAATTTCAACCAAATTTGGCACAAAGCATCTATGGGTAAAGGGAAACAACAATTGTGAATTTCATGGTCCCTGTCCCCCTAGGGCCTGAGGGGTGGGGCAAAAACCTGTTAAATTAATGAAATTTGAAAAAAATCTTCTTCTTTACTCCTGGACATCAAGCAGTCAAACTGTTTGCATGATGTTAATCAGCATTGAGTCCTCTACCAAAATTATGAAATTCATGGTCCCAGGGTCAGGGGTTCTAGTGCTAGGGCGGGGCTAAATGTATTATATAGTGAAAATGCATAAATTCTTTGAGAATCTTCTTCTCTGCTCCTGGGCATGAAATAAACTAACCAAGTACATAGCTGTGTTGAATAAGGTGGCCTCTACCAAAATTGTGAAATTCATGGCCCCTGGGTCAGGGGTTCTAGTGCTAGGGCGGGGCTTTATTGATTAGAAAGTGAAAATACATTAATTCTTTAAAAATCTTCTTCTCTACTCCTGGGCATTAAATAAACTAACCAAGTCCATAGTTATGTTGAATAAGACTGCCTCTTCCCAATTTGTGAATTTCAGGGCCCCTGGGTCAGGGGTTCTTGTTTTAGGGTGGGGCTCTAATGATTATATAGTGAAATGCATGAATTCTTTGAACATCTTATTCTTTGCTCCTGGTTAGTATTCCAATGATGTAATTACATATTTAAGGCCAGGATTTATTTTATTTTCAGGTTTACAAACCCACCGCTCAAGGGTTTGAATTTTCAGAAAAAAAAAAAAAACATTTTTTTCTTTCTGATGTCAAATTTGAGTGGGGATCGAGATTTCATATTTACGAACTCGTACTTCCGGTTTTAAGATTGAACTTGGCGGGTAATCAAGCTAGATCTGCAAAGATAGCTTGGTTTATTGTAAAATTCATCTATAAGAGTGCCATTCAAAACGTTTCACCCGTTCAAAGGACAAATAAAATGCTGACGACTTTGTTGCACAGTGACATGCTGGTGAGATAATTATGTTATACATTCGAATTCGTTTCAATCAAAAGTATGTCTGTGAATTATTTTCCTCCCCACAGGTTTAAAAGTGCCCGTGGTAGCTATTGCCACCGATATTGCTTAGGTCTATGTTATAGCTTACAGTCTAAGCATCATTCTTAAGCATCAGATGTAATGAATAAAATCATGGGAGATGAGGAAGAAATAAACAAAACCCTGAAGAAATAAAAAAAAAATTCAACTATTAAAAAGAAAGTATATACAAATATATACAGGCATGTAGTATCGTTTGTGGCAGCCAGAAAAATTATTTTACACTTAATTGAAAAAATGTTCACCCTACTCCGCAATATTCCCTGTCTGTTTTATGATAGGAATTATAATTTTAGGCATCAAGTATATTTTAGAACAATGTCTATTGTCTACACATTCACCTAACACATATTTAAAAAATGAAGATATATTGAAAGAGTTTTAAAGAATTGATTTGCTAAAATATATTTTGATCAGTGATGAAATAAGCAATTAAATGTTCTACTTTCCTATTTGTAAGCATTATGTGTCCAGTGGTAAGGAGCTTGTTAGGATAGCATAAAGAAGAATATACAAATGTTAATAATTGATTTATCCAAAAAAAAATTTTTTTTTATTTCCTTCTCTTTCGGGACTTTTTCATGAATGATGTTCGTAACTAATCCTAAAAATAAAAAAAAATGCTGGCCTTATGTTGAAGAAAGGGGCCTCTTTCAAAATAGATATTTTCAGGGCTGCTGGGTCAAGGGTTACGGGGGGGGGGGTTACTTTGACTAAAAGTAAATTAAGGCTTTGAAATCTGCTCTTGCAATGGTGCCTCTTTCAAAATTTATGACCTTCATGGCTTTGGGATTAAATCACGAACCAAATACAATCACTGGAAAGTTGTTACATGATACTCAGGTGACCTACAAGGCCCATGGGCCTCTTGTATATGTATATGATTTTAAAGATTTTTTTTTAAATATAAAAATTAAACCTTGTTTTACCTAAAAAAAAATATTAGTTTTGCTGAAACTATTGATTATGAACACTGAATTTTCCATATAAGAGATGTATATCCTTTATCTAAAAAAATGAAAAGTGGACCAACCTGGCAGTTTTAAGGTTTTCTCTTCAATCACTGAATAATCAAAATTTCTATAAATCATCTACATTTGCACTGAAGACAATATTTATTCTCTGTAGATGGACCCACGGTTACTGGACAGACAGTGACGGTCTCTGAGGGACAACGGGCCAGCATGTCCGCCACGGTGACCAGTAACCCGCCCTCTAGAGTGTCATGGTTCAGGGGCAGTGATCTACTTTATACCCAGAGTTCTGTAAATGGGTATTCGACTTACACCTTATCCTCGGCTCAGTGTACTGATACGGTGCAATTCAGGGTAGTTGCTAGCAATGGGATCCAAAATAACTCCTCAACAACTGTATACCTCTATGTCTACTGTATGTACTAATAGTGCTTTTAATGAAATTGAGACCAATCTAGTGATTAATACAAGTTTCAGTGATAGATAATGTTCAAAATATTCTGCTTGCTTGCTATGTATCCCGAATCCTGATAAATACATTGGCCAAGATATTCAAGAACTTATCATCTGTTTTTGAACTTCATTTATAATGAGAAATCTTATTATATTCGCCAAAGTATCATGCATACACGAAAAACAAGCTAATTCAGAGAATGTATGTCCACGGTCGCTTAGAAAAAAGAAGAGAATGCGCGGATCTAGTCTTTTTTCTTGAGCGGAGGACACGGATTCTCTGAATTGATTTTTTTATTGTAGGTTCGCCGCGTTTAAATTCCTCTGGGAGTTCGGTTTTCATTTCAATAGGAAACAACAAATACATGGACGGTCAGGTCACCATCTTATCGTATCCACAGCCCAACTACACACTGACCCTCCCAAATGGTGCTCCGAATACGAACATCAGTCTCAGTATATCCACCATTACAACGAACATCTACCGCATCAAACTGCGCAAGTCAAATATTCAGCCAAAGGATCATGGGACATATAAAATGATTGTTTCGAACACATACGGAACAAGAATACTAGATATTCATGTTCATCCTAAAAGTAAATCTAATATTTACTTTAAGTAATGTTTAAAAAAATAAAACTGAAGAAACACATCATAAATCAATTTAAGAGATGTTTTGAAAGAACACGGTCACTTTTAAACTACAGTGTATTTCAAACTCCATAACTAATCTTGTTCTTTTAGGCAAACCTTTAAAAACAGATCAAGTATTTGTTTCTTGTGGAAACAGAAAAGCTTACATTACTTGGCAGTCCTCTTACTTTGGTTACGAAGCTCAAAATTCACTTGTTCAATACTCGACAAAACCTGACAGTGTAGCCTTTTTCAACGGCTCAGGCCTCACACCTGAAAGAATTGAACAAGAACTCTTACATGTCACAGTTTCCGGTCTACAAGACAATACAAAGTACTTCTTTAGAGTGGCCTCCATTAATAGATATGGCGTCTCTCTGTCATCAGTTGTCGACTGCACCACGGAAACTAAAAATGGTTATCATCATCCAGTTCTTTAAATTAATACTTGCACATGAAAAAGAGTAAATTTTCGATTAATAATTAAAAAAAATATCACTTTATTCAGTTGTTAAATTGTAGCATTTGACCTCTAAACATAAATACGAATTACTTTTTATCAATTCTAGAGGAAACGTGGACTGCAAGCGTCGCTACTGGAACTGTCTTGGGAATCTTGCTCGCTCTGATCATTTCAGCATTGGCCTTTGTGTCTTATAATTACTTTCAAGGTATCAAAGACAATTCAAACATTTTAAGGTTGAAGTACTTGTATTTCATTTATTTGATTAGTTTTTGACAACTAGGAAACTTGCTAAAATACTTTAAGAACAAGCAGGGAAAATATTTTTTATTTATACAAAATGGGTTTTTTTTTTGTAGAGAGAAAAGCCAAGAAAGCAAGGTTCGTAATTTTCAAGTGAGGTTTTTAGTTAACAAATGTTTTCATATAATTTAAATTAAAATTTTGTAATTTTTGGGCACATTAAAACTTTAAACCAGTCTTCCTTTCAGGTCAGGACCATATGATGCAATTGAAAAGGGAAAAACCGAAGACATCAACTTGTATGAAAAATACACGTATCAAAACAGAGAGAATGGAAATCCTGGTATGTAAACTAAATTGAATAATCTCTTAGATTTATTTTTGAATCTTTGAAATATCCAATTAACGTTTTTTTTAAATTTTTTTTTTAGATACAGAATGGCCGTCAGAATTATCAATCAATAATTTGTACTCTTCAGAACCTCAACAAAAAGATCAAGTCGTAGAAAGGATTTATGAAAACACAAGTCTAGTTAAGTCCTCGAAAGACAAATTAAAACCAGAGATAAAACCAAAGCCCAAGAAGTTACCGAAACCGATTACTTAATATTTCTTTGTAATATATTTCAAAAAATAATTGCATCTTTTTTTTATCCTTACTGTCATGTTTATAATTTTAATATTTTAAGAAATAGATGCTGTGATTGATTGTCGTATATTGTCATTTTTTAACACAGAGCATGAGAGAAATTTCAAAGCATGAATATAAATGAATGATGTTCTGTATATTTATTCACACAGATTATGAAATTTTTCATAACAAATAATGTAATATCTATAATTTTTAATTTAGTTAATTACTTTTGCAAAGCACTTGTAATTTAATTAATCACATGTCTTATATAAAGACTTATTTCATTGAAGAAAAAATCAAATTACAGTGAAATAGTGATTTATTTAATTCAATAGTTTTAAAGTAATTGACCCATTCCCTAGACTGAATGTCCACTCCTATTCGTAAAATCTATCAAGAGGACTGAAAGAAAGAATAAAACTCTTACTACAGGACAAGACAGAGTTCTAGACGTCGATTTGATGTCGAAGGATGTCAGCTATACTGCACGGACTTCAAACCATCAAACAAGATATGTTTCTTGTTTGAGACAACGGAAGCAAAGGATGAAGATTCTCAAATGCAAACTCCAAGGTCAAAATTGTTGGTATCAAGAGGGTCTTTTCATAAGGAACATACCTGTGAAATATAAAAATAAAAACCCTAGTACTGCATGAAACTGTTCAAAAGTTATGGCCAAGGTTTAAGACTTTAGTTCTACTGATCAGAGACCAGAAGACATTGTGCGATAGAAAGTGTCCGTCGTCCGTCCGTCTGTCTATAAAGAATTTTTCAAAATACTACTTCTCCTAGAGTTTTGGTCGGTTTTCAATAATTATACTTTGGCACTCAGATACTATACAAAGATACATAAGAACTGCGAACGATAGAATTGTTCTCCCGCCTATCTCAAAGTCAATTTTCAACCATACGTCTCTGTCGAGTCTGTAGCTCTACTGGTTTGTACTTATTATAAAGGAAAAGAAAAGTAGCAGTTTGGACTTAAAACTTTACAGAAGCAATAAATAGAATAATGATATGGATTAAGTCTCTTTTTACGGCGAGATTGCAATAAGACTAACTGTAGGAGTAGCTTTTAATAAAACTTTACAGAACTTTCAATTTTACGTACCATGGCAACATAAATCATCAAAATAAAAAACACAAAACTTATAATTATGTATCTCAGTGTAGTCTACTTGCATTATTATATATAAATCATCATACTGTAGAAGTAGTTTTTTCAGCGTTGTATTTATTTACGCTATGTATGCAGTCACAAATTTTCGGCGGAAATTTGTCCCACATAATTCTGTTATTGCTGCCTGTTGCAAAGTTTCAAATCAAAGTGCTACTTTTCCTTTGTTATACGTACAGACAAGTATAGCTACAGTTTCATCAGAGACTTCTGGTTTACAAATCGAGTCTAACTCTAAGGTCAGGGTAAAAAATATTAACCCAATTAAAAGGTCCTGTCACAATGAATAAGCTTGTGAAGTATGAACACCATAGCACCAACTGTTCAAAAAATATGGTCAATGTTAAAGGGTTTTTTGTAAAAGTAGGTCGAAGTCCAAATTCAAGAAGTCAAATAAACCAAAGAAAGGTCATGTTACAAGAAATACACCTGTGAAACATGAAAGCCATAGCTTAACCCGGTCAGAAGTTATGGGCAAGGTCAGAGTTCTTGCGGAACTTCTTGCGGTTCTCTACACAGAAAAAAGACAAATAGGGCAAATATCGATTACCGACCGGGGGCATAAATACTCAAATAGAAGTATATTCTATGGTGTTTGTGCTGTGCAGGATATTATGGCATTTTCATACTATGAATTTCGAATAGGTGGAAGAACATTAAATACAAAATTTTAAAATATGACAAAATGACAATATTGTAAATTTATATTTTCTGCCGATCGGTAAATTCAAAATATGAAATTATTATTAAACAATGACGATCAAAAATTTACAGTGGATAATGTCCAGCATACCGCATTGCTGCTATCTGACATTTCGTAAAGAGGATCACCCTTGTCGTTTTCCCATATTGGAAATGTTCGTTTTAGTTAGAAACCATTGCAATGATTTTTTTTAAAATAATCACTGCAATCTGCAAAAAAGGGTTTTGAATAACCTGTATATACTTAACTTCAAAGGTAATATTAAAAATAAAGGGTT